AGCCAAAAAAAAAAAAAAAAAAAAAAGCAAATGAGTGAGTATTAAAATAGTTAGTAAGCATTATACTTGTAGGCTCTCATCACATCTTTAACGTATCCACGGGTTTTTCTTTGGAATAGGAAGTTTGGTCCTAGCTTTTATTGCTATCTGAGCATCTGAGGCGTCTCATAGTTCCAAACAATTCTCTAGTCGGTTGCAGACCCACTATGGGTTTGAAGGAGGTGGTTCACCCATTTCTGGCGTTGTGGGTCTACTGGGCAATAAATTTCATCAATAAGGTGAATTACTTTTGTGTTCTTAGACTTAGGTAGCTTGTTTTGCTTATGCAATGAATGACCGAGACTTGAGTTGAGATGCTATCTTATAAAGTTATAATGAGACATTATGATGTTTTCTAGTCTAACTATCATCCATAGAAAGTTAGCTATCGGACTCTCTAACAAGATCATAAAATCACCCGCTGGCTACTAGATGAACCTAGATGGTTTATGTCCCTTCTTAGGGAAGGGTTTACAAAAGAATAATCGTTACTCACATTACTGTTTATTATTATTATATTATTATTATTATATTATAATAAATTTTGAAATTTGAATTCGATTGGGTTATTTTTTATTATTATTATAAATTTTAAAATTTGAATTCAATCATTACTCAGATTATTTTTTATTATTATATTTATAATAAATTTTAAAATTTAAATTTAACCAATATTACTTTTTTATTATTTTTATATTATAATAAATTTTGAATTTTTCATAATTTGGAAGTTACTTTCATGGGTTTTATTATTTTTATTATATTATTATTATATTATGATATTTAAAAAAAATAATAAAAATAATTTTGAAAACTTTCTTCACATTATTATTATTATTATTATTATTATTATTATTATTATTATTATTATTATTATTATTATTATTATTATTATTTATTTATTTATTTTTAATCGTCACCTTCTTTTTTTTTTCTTTTAACCCAATCCAATAGTAGATATTAATTTCTACCTTTTGCCACCTTATTTGAACTCATTTCTTCCTCATATTTTTTCAACAAAACTTCCATAATTCTTCGATCTTCAATCGAGTTTTCAATTTTATTTCTCTTCATTATATTCTTGAGAGATATTTTTTACTGTATTGTGAGGGGATAATTGTCTGTGCTCAACTTGTAAATCTACTCTTTTAAAGAATTGTAGTGTGTTCCTACAAAATTCCAATACTTAGTAACGGTTTAATCTTAAGTCTTAAAAATGATTGAGTTTGCTCTTGAACTCGTAAAAAGAGAGGTGTAGCAGTTGGACTCTGATTCGAAGGAAGAGTCAATAAATTTTTATTTAAATTCTCAACGGGCACTGAACGTGTGGAGTAGGTCGAGTTTGACCGAATCACCATAAAACTACGGTATTATATTTTTCTAACTCTTTCCAATTTAATTTTAAAATTATTATTGTGATTGATTGCATGTTCTAAGATTTTCATAATTGTTTATTGTTTTGTATTAATTATATCTCCTAGTTATTTCTAAAAAAGTTTGATAATTAGAAAAGTTAAGCATACTTAAATAATTCTATTGTTAAAACCCTATTCACCCCTCTAAGTTGTTATACCGATCCAACAATTGGTATCCGAGCGAGTTGCTCTTATAAATTTTTTTATATAAAATTATTGTTAGTGATTATGACAAACCTACATGTTAATAACTGCTTTAGTGAAGAACAATCAACTTCTAGGCCTTCTTGATAGAACAAATTAGACTTTGATAATGGTTAATAATCGTTATTCCTAGCTTTACACTATGGGTAATTTAAAATACTGATAATGGTTAATAAGATAGTTTAGTTATCATAAAAAAAATCAATTAATTAATTAATTTGAGATCAAGGTCAAAAAGCTAACATAAGTCAAACTCACTTTGATAGATACTTATGCAGAAGTAGATGGTATCAAGGAAGAGCTCTCTAGACCTTAAGAGAAGGCCATTAAGGAAATGATGAGAGCATACAAATAGGTTGCTTTTTAAGTAACTTTTAAGTCCCCCTTTCTTCTTTTCTTTTTTAGGTACCGATTGGTGCATAAGAGCGTTCGAGAGCTATACAATTATAGAGAAGGTCATTCTGGAGCGTTAATCCATTCTTGCATTGAGTCTTTTCTTTTTCGTTTTGTAATTGTACCTCAAACCCTCTTACTCATTTGTAATAAACTTGGATTTTATTTTGTATTTAATCTTAGTGTTGTTTATCTATTTTTATTTCGATCTAAATTTTATCCGATTTTCATCTTTCATTTTATTTTTATTTTACTTTTATTTACTTTTATCTTCATCTTAGTTACGGTATGAGATTCAAAGTCTCAAAAATTAAATCATGACGGGCATGAGCATAGTCAATAGTCATGCTTAGGAAGCACGTATACATGCCTACTTAATGGGTTCATGTAATATGTTTGAACTATAAGTAGAGAAATACTATGCATTCAACCCTACCTTTATTAATATCGAATTTGGACCGAATAATTCATAATAAAATATACAATTGACAGAAATTTGTTGATCGTTTATAAATATAATTGTCGGGTCAACAAAAAAAAAGAGAAAAAAAAATGACTTTTGCTAATTTGGCATGCGAACTCATTGTTTTTGCATAATTCATAACTTTAATTATAGTTGAAACATCGTTTATCATTAAATCTTATATTCTATGAATATTATTGTCTACCCTTTTGGTGAATTGGGATGAGTTAATTAAGAAAGCCCCAAAGATTGTGTTCTCCAATATCCAACAAACAGCCATCCAAAATTTCAATTTCACTTTTATGTTCTTTTCAAACCTAAAAGCATGCTACATCATGAATTTGTACTTCATATGTAACTAAGCTCCCCCTAACATTCATAGATGCTCAAATCAATTTAGATTTCGTTGTTCAATAGGTATGAATGCGTTTTTTCACGTTTTTTGTTTCTTCTTTTTCATCTAAATATGTTTCCGAACTTATGTATATAAAAATATATTTGTGATACTCAAGTAAATATACCCAATAACGGGTATATGATTGAATTGATTTGAGGTTTGAATGAGAGTGATTCTAAGGATAGGATGACTAAGAAAAGGTTAAAAAAACTCAAAGTTACTATTTATACTAACAAGGTGTGTACATTCATTTTTTAGTGGCTGGATAATAAGAATTCCAAAGTTACGCATAATTTTCTTGGAGGAATTTTGTGTTGGTAACCTCCTGAAAATTTTTCGAGGATGCATGTGAGTGAGAATAAAGTATGCTGCAAGAAGTTAAAAATGTGATCATATCGCAGGGAAATATTAGAGCCATCAAGGACAGATTTCAAATTTTGATTCGTGATCTGAATCATGGACATGAGGCGTTACAATATTAATAGATGATGATGATGAGAAGAGACTAAATTCACTAAACCTAATTAAAACTAAAGAACTTAAGCAAGTTAAATGTGAGATCCTACATCGGTGGAGAGAACGAACATTCTTTATAAGGGATGGAAACTTCTCATTAGCATATGAATTTTAAAAATCTTGAAGGGAAGCCCGAACGGAAAAGTCCTAAAAGAACAATATCTGCTAGCAGTCGACTTGAGCCATTACAAACGGTTTTAGAGCCATGGAGGGGGATTGACACTAGGCAGTGTGCCAGCGAGACGTTGGGCCCAGAAGGGGAGGGTGGATTGTGAGATCCCATGTCGGTTAGAGAGAGAGAGGAAAGAAGTATTTCTTTCCGAACCTTAGGGGAAAACTGAAAAAGGGGTTGGAGAAAATTTAAATTAAATTTGTTAAAGAGATAATTAATTTGAGGTGAAGATTCCCTATCTTTGTATCTTCATTATAATTCCTTTAATGACTTAGAGATACCTAAGTTATGGGCATGATATGAAACAAATTTGTAGGTTTGTGTAGGTGAAGAAAGATTCCCATTTTTATATACATCATTACAAGTTATATCATGAATTGGGAAATAAGTGAAGATATAATAAACTACAAAAGTCTTATACACAATTGATACTCATTTCAAACTACAACTTTGTCTATGTTGTCTATGTTGGGAAAAAGAG